TTTGAATTTGTGTGTAATATTATTTTACTGAAGAATGAGTAGTTGAAATAATGTCAAAATATTGTTTAATAATATATTTTTTTTCCCCAAAGAATGGGGCTCAAATAGGACTAATTCTGGAAGAATCGTTCTATCTATTCGCTAAAATCCTATACCGCAAGTGTAGGGTCGCATTTAAGCAATAGAGCGGATTTTTTGAGTCCGAGTCAATCCTTTGAAGAGTGTTTATTCCAATTACACGGGAGTTGAATCGAAAAACAATCAAGACATGCACAGTTAATATCTTTGAATTTGAAAATAAAAAGAAATTGATTCTAAGTATTCAAGTGAAATACCCAATTGCAATTATGATAGGAGTTAGATTTTAATCGGGTTGGGATTCATGATTCCACTTGCCTGTCACTAAATTAATTCCTCAAAACAATTCAATAGAACATTGCTCACTTTTCTCATCAAACCCAATTCTCCTATTTTAGTTAATTAACTTTCTCAAGTGAAACTAACCCTTATCAATTGGTTTAACTTACTATATCTCTATGTCGATTAAACACGATTGAAAACATTAAATATTAATGAAAATAACTCAAAGGGTTATCTAGGGCTAAGAATATATCTCTATTTCCACAAGAACCTAGGGTTTCTACCACCTTAGTCTAAAATGTGCAATAATTTCTCAATAATCACACAAATCACTAGATATTATCACATAGTGCCACAATAATGATAATGCACTAAAAACAATGGTAAAAACACAATAACATAAGCATTAAATAGTGGATAAAGAAATTTATATAGTTAAGCCAAGCTCCTCATTCATCTCAACACCAAAATGTTTAGCCTATTGTATTTGTAGGGTACAAAATGAAAGGATTAAAGGAATACAGCACAAAAGTTGAGAAAAATGTAATGTAAAATACAAGACAAAGAAATAAACCCGTCCCTTGATCGGATCCTTGAAGTTTGCTTGGTTTTGTTCTTGATTTCTCAAAAAATTTCTCCCTTTGGTGTAGTATTTTTTCTCCTTTTTGCTTGCCCCATTTTCTTTCTAAGCTAGGGTTCTTTTTTAAGTGAATGAAGAATGAGAGAAAAATGGATCAATTTTGCCTTTTAAATGACTCAAAAA